AAATATAAAAATTATTTTTGTAAGTAGACCATCTAATAAATATATAGGCTTTAATTTTTTGTTGTAAATTCTCAAGAACAAAAAAAATATAAATTCCCTTTCATCGTAGGTTTAGGTTTTATTACAATTCTATAATCGCTTTTTAAATTAATAAACATTGCCGAGGAGTGAAGGTAGTTAAATAATAGCGGTAATAATAATCAATAAGGAATATGAGTAAAAAGTTAACAACAACACTATTGAGTACCTATAAATAACAGTATTCGGATTCGCAATTATTTCTGCTCAATAGCCTCCAGAATAATTTGAAATATAATCGTTACCGACTATCTAATAATCGTTAGGATAACACAATAGACCTTGCTACCCATAATGTACCATTAACCAGTATATATAAGTAGACATGCCAAACAAACAACACACATGGCCGTAAGATTGTTTTCAAGCGTTAAAAAAACTGTCGACGTACGGTTTTGTTTTCGGTGTACATTTTCAGATTTACATAGGCTCTATACGGGATAATGAACAGTTTAACCCATAAGTATAGCATATCTTAAAATTAAGTATATTTGTGTAAAAAGTCAGATATAAAAGTAAAATATATTTGTAAAAAGGCAATATGAATAAAGACAAAAGGAACAATTTTCTTTACCAACACCTTTCGTCCTCATATGGACGTTAAGAAAGCAAATGTAAAGACTTTAATTTGTAACATGTATTTATAAACAGAAGTCAAATATCGTGAGGTTTTGAAAATATTTAAATTTAAGACCACTCAAAAAAATTCTTCAGGCTAAACTATAGAGGATGTCAATTTATTGCCTAATAAACGAAGGCGAGTTATTATTAATACTGTTGTTGAATGGTGTTTTTGTTGTCGATGAATGTTGTTATTGTTGTTGTATTTTGTTATTATTATCAGTGAATATTGTTATTGTTGTTGTTGAATGTTGCTATTGTTGTCTGTGAATGTTATTGTTGTTGAATGGTATTATTGTTGTCGGTGAATGTTGTTATTGTTGTAGAATGTTGTTATTGTTGTCAGTGAATGTTGTTATTATTGTCATTGAGTGTTGTTGAATGTTATTATTGTTGTCGGTGAATGTTGTTATTATTGTTGTTGAATACTGTTATTGTTGTCGGTGAATGTTGTTATTGTTGTTGAATAATATTATTGTTGTCGGTGAATGTTGTTATTGTTGTTGAATGTTGTTGTTGAATATTGTTATTATTGTCAGTGAGTGTTGTTGAATGTTATTATTGTTGTCGGTGAATGTTGTTATTATTCTTGTTGAATGTTGTTATTGTTTTCGGTGAATGTTGTTGTTGTTGTTGTTGAATATTGTTATTATTGTCAGTGAATGTTGTTATTGTTGTTGTTGAATGATGCCATTGTTGTCAGTGAATGTTGGTATTGTTGCTGAATGTTGTCAATGTTGTCGGTGAATTTTGTGGTTGTTGTTGAATATTGTTATTATTGTCAATGAATATTGTTTTTTGAATGTTATTATTGTTGTCGGTGAATGTTAAGCGAATGGATACAGATTGTTAATTTTTCAAAAGAACACCTGCTAAATGAACATGAACAGATAGAGTCCAAACTTATACTCAGTTTATCGATTCCATGCTGATAACCATTAAGCTACTTTCTATTTCTAAAATAAACCCACAACCTCCTTTTCTTCTTCTTCTTCTATGTGTCGTGTCCCTTCAAGACATTAGCGATCATGGCTCTCCACTATTTCCTGCCTTTTTGAAAGGACGAAATAGCTAATGAAAATGTTTAATAAAAACAAAAACTAAATTTTAGTTAAAGGAAATTTCATCAGATTTTACATATATATATATCAAAGTACTAAGCGTATCCCCCAGGTAGAAGCGAACTCACTACGTAATTACAGTTGAGTTAGAAAGGCAAGCTTGTTAACCATTACACCACGCCAAGGTGCCCGTGTTTACATGTGTGAAACCTTTTTTCTGTGTATTTTTGGTCGAAGAACTTTTCTGATAATAAATAACAGTGATTACTGGGGGATATGTTTCCCAGACAGCGCCGCCCCGTTGTGTAAATTCAGGGATACATATTGATATCGACAGCCAATGACATTGGGACTGCAATGTTTGCTATTATCTGCATACACGTGTTCGGGGGACCAATATTAAATCGACATTGTATCAGATTTACTTTAGTTGGGAAGAACATAAGAATCAGTTGTGTTGGTAAGTTTCTTCGATTAGTTCTTTTGCTTAATGACTAACACGGAAGATACTGGTTTTCTATAGCACATATATCGACCGACCTAATGCGGAAGTGGAATCGCTGTAAATTACCATCTTCCGGTGACAGGAAGTTGTAACGTATTTGAATTACCCTTTATTGCTTGCCATAAGAAGATGAACGTTTCCATTGTTTATTTGGGATCGCCGTTTGAGTGGTCGTTCATTTAATATTCATTAAAAGGAGAAAACAAAAAATAAATTGGATAAGTCAAAATCACTTATGATTTTACATTGTATTCAGTCTAAGTTGCTTGCAATCACTTTGAGTTTGATTACAATATCTATCTATCTATCTATCTATCTATCTATCTATCTATCTATCTATCTCTGTTACCCTCTCTGTATCTTTTATCTCTCTCACTCTTTATGGTGGAATTTCCCGACCTATTAGACGTATGAGTGTGAAGCAACTCAGTTCCTAGGAAGCGACAGCCCAGACACCAGCACATATGATTTGATTATCGTGGTGATGGCTTTGTGCAGAACCAACCATACTTTTTGAAGGGCTGAATACAAAGACCTGGTGCACTATGTGCCACAAGGTCCCCAAACAACTCTCCACAGGTTTTGAATTCATTCTCCTAGACCAGTTGCCATCCAAGGCTATAGAACCCAGTCTGCTATTTACTCATTGCTGGAGAGAGAAGAAGATTAATACTTTTCCCAAGGGTATTAGCACGTAAGTGAATATAATGAATTCGACTGGAATTCGAACTTCACTCTCTCTCTCAATTATATATATATATATATATATATATAAAGAAATATAGTCTGAAGGTGTGCAATATATATATATATGGGATAAAGTGCTCAATATCAGAGATAGAGCGTGGTTAAATATAAAAGTGATCATTGAAGTCAACACTCAAAGGCGACAGTCTGTTTCCTGCTAGACGCAATCATCCGGCCACGAGTCTGGCCTGTTGATTAGCATGAAACAGTCTGTCGCCTCAAGTGTTAACTTCAATGTTCACTTATATATATATATATATATATATATATATATATAAAGGAACACAATTGTAGTTGGTAAAACTCCAGTTAGGAGAAAGATGGTAATTAAAGGTGCAATGTAGAGCCTATAAAATTTAAGATAAATGAAGAATAAAAATTAAAGCCGAGGCAACTTCAGTTTCACCTTAACAAATGAAGGATCGTTACGCCAGTCTCAATGTTCATCTTGTGTCGTTCGCAGTTTACATCTTAAATATGGAGCACCCATATATACTAGTTTGTATATTCTTGACTAGCAACCAGTCTAGGAGAAGGAAAACTCTGATTTCAAAACCTTCGAAGGGTTGTGTGACACCAGTTCTCTATATTCGACTCTTCCAAAAAAGTGTGTTTGGCTATGTACAAGCTTTCACTAATATAATCAAATGATATGTGCGGTTAGTCTGGCTGTTGGTTCTAAGAATTGAGCTGCTTGATCCTTAAACGTCGAAAACGACGAAAGAATCAGTATATATATATATATATATATATATATATATATATATATATATATATATATAGTGTATATGTAGTGAAATTTAAATTAAATTAAAACAACCATACGAAGTTTAGAAAGGGCCATGATCGAACATAATTCATTGTTATATTTAACAATATATGTTTCAATATATATATATATATATATATATATATATATATATATATATATATACTCCAGTAGATGTTATTGCTCTTTCTATTATCTCATAATTTTCCCTTGGGGTTATATGTGCTGTCCATTTTAGTTGTTGCTGTTGTTGAAAGTCCTCAATTGATATGGGTTCTATTATCTCATACAATTCTTTGTGATTCTATAATGCCAGACCCCACGGACTTCACTCCCGCGAAGCCATTTTAGACCATTGGTCTTATAAAGCGGTTGTATACAGATGACAGTTTAGTTATATCTTAATAGGTTTGGTTCCATGCGTAACTCCCGGATGAAAATCTCGATCCGACGAGGCTATTTAAGAAAATAACTCGTGTTTTCAGTTTAATCTTTTGGTTTTGCAGCAATTTGCGGTGTTGGACGAAACTATCTCTAACACAGTCTCTTCTATATTCAATTTCCTTGTACCCTATACTAAATTTGTTTTATCGGATCCGTACGCCAACGTACCTGAAGTAAGAAGCTAGTTAATTCAGGTAAACATAAGGCTTTTTATATATATATATATGCATAACAATCGTTGCAATATTATATATATATATATATATATATGTGAAAATATATAGAAAATAGGAAGGAACTGGTTAGGTAAATAGTCCAAAGTTCCTTAGTATTTTTGTTATTATTTTTAAAAAATAGTGCTCGATACAAAAGTAGAGCATAAATATAATTATTTATTTAAAAATATGATTCCAAATCAATTTAATTTAAAGGATTATATTGAAGTTTTCGGCTCTTGTTTTGAAACATGAGACCTCTTATGTAGCGATTTGGAATCATATTTTTAAATAAATAATTATATATATATATATATATATATATATATATATATAACTGAAAATGTCTTATTGGTAGATATAAATTTCTTATGTACCGAGCACTTGAGCTAAAAGACGTAATTCGCATCTCTTCGTAAAGGTCATTATGTATGGCTACATATTTTACTGCCTCGATAAAAAAGTGATATGCGTAAACACAGACACATTTAAACGATCACTTGGAAAGAAACGTGTTATATTGACTTCATCTTTTATGCGTACACACGGCTTCTTGTAAGTACTCATGCACTCATACGTCCGAACTAGCTTATACTTTATCTAATTATATTCGTGTTTTCAGTATTTGAGTTTGTTTTTTTTTTCAAATTTCATTCTTCCTTTTTTTCTCTTGCTTTCTTCTCTCTTTCATCTCCAGTGACTTTCGCGCCAATATTTTAACTTGAATTTCTTTCTTTTTAGTTTATTTTGCTATTTTATTGCTTTATTCATTTCATATGTAGTTTTTTTTATTTTACTACTTTCATTTTTGAATAAAATTCTTTCTTCCGTTCATTCACTCATTCTTTTAAAATTTTTTCAATCATTTTTTTAAAATTTATTTTGCATTTTTTGCCTTTGCTTTTATTTTTTGAAAGTTTTTCTTTCTATTATTCTTTTTTATTTATTTTTCAGTCTTTTTGTTTCGCTTTCATCTTTCCTTTTTTTATTTTTTTTATTTGAAAATTGTGTCTTTCTCTCGATTCATTTTTATTTATTTTGGAAGTTTTTTTTTTAATAAATTTTTTGTTTGGATTATTTTTTATTTTATTTTTCATTCGTTTAGCTCTTATTTTCTTTATTTCTTTGAAATTTGTTTCTTTCTTTCAATTTTTTTTAAAATCCTTTTTGAATATTCTGCCTTCATTTTTCTTTCTTTCTTTTACTTTTTGGAAAGATTTTCTATCAATTATTTTTTGTTTATTGTTTTCATTCTTTTATCTTTGCTTCTTTCTCTCTTTGAAACTTTTTTTTTCCTCTCGATTATTTTTAAAATCTATTTTTCATTTTTTTACCTTTTTTTTTCTTTGTTTTATAGTTTTACTCTCTATTAGTGTTTTATTTTTCAGTCTGTTTCCTTTACATTTTTATTTTTTATTTTCTTTTTTTCTTTTTTCTTTGTTTCTTTCTTTCTGTTTTCTTTCTTTTTTTTTTCTTTCTTTTTTCTTTCTTTATTTCTTTCTTTTTTCTATCTTTCTTTTTTCTTTCTTTCTGTTTTCTTTCTTTCTGTTTTCTTTCTTTTTTCTATCTTTCTTTTTTCTTTCATTCTGTTTTCTTTCTTTCTTTCTTTTTTCTTTCTTTCTTTTTTCTTTCTTTTTTCTATCTTTCTTTTTTTCTTTCTTTCTGTTTTCTTTCTTTTTTCTTTTTTCTATCTTTCTTTTTTTTTTCTTTCTTTCTGTTTTCTTTCTTTTCTTTTTTCTATCTTTCTTTTTTTTCTTTCTTTTTTTTTCTTTCTTTTTTTTTCTTTCTTTCTTTCTTTTTTCTTTCTTTCTTTTTTTTTTTTATTTATTTTCTTTTTTTCTTTCTTTCTTTTTTCTATCTTTCTTTTTTCTTTCTTTCTGTTTTCTTTCTTTCTGTTTTCTTTCTTTTTTCTTTTTTCTTATTTCTTTTTTCTTTCATTCTGTTTTCTTTCTTTCTTTCTTTTTCTTTCTTTCTTTCTTTTTCTTTCTTTCTTTTTTCTTTCTTTTTTTCTTTCTTTCTGTTTTCTTTCTTTTTTCTTTTTTCTATCTTTCTTTTTTCTTTCTTTCTTTCTTTTTTCTTTCTTTCTTTTTTCTTTCTTTATTTCTTTCTTTCTTTTTTCTATCTTTCTTTTTTCTTTCTTTCTTTCTTTTTTTTCTTTCTTTCTGTTTTCTTTCTTTTTTCTTTTTTCTATCTTTCTTTTTTCTATCTTTCTTTTTTCTTTCTTTCTTTATTTCTTTCTTTTTTCTTTCTTTCTTTTTCTATCTTTCTTTTTTCTTTCTTTTTTTCTTTCTTTCTGTTTTCTTTCTTTTTTCTTTTTTCTATCTTTCTTTTTTCTTTCTTTTTTCTTTCTTTCTTTTTTCTTTCTTTATTTCTTTCTTTCTTTTTTCTATCTTTCTTTTTTCTTTCTTTCTTTCTTTTTTTTTCTTTCTTTCTGTTTTCTTTCTTTTTTCTTTTTTCTATCTTTCTTTTTTCTTTCTTTCTTTTTTCTTTCTTTCTTTCTTTTTTCTTTCTTTCTTTTTTCTTTCTTTTTTCTTTCTTTCTTTTTCTATCTTTCTTTTTTCTTTCTTTTTTTCTTTCTTTCTGTTTTCTTTCTTTCTTTTTTCTTTCTTTCTGTTTTCTTTCTTTTTTCTATCTTCCATGTTTCTTTCTCCTATTATTTCCTTTGAAGAGACAGAGCAATTAATAAAATTGGTTGGAAGGAAAGAAGGAACAAAGGAAAGAATAAAGGAATCTTTTAATCTTTTATCATATTCCTTATTTTCTTTGTTTCCTATTTCTATTGTCGTTTTTTTTCTTCCTTCCCTAATTCTTTATTTCCTTACATTCTTTACTCGTTCAGATTTTATTTTCAAAAATTTCTTTCATTTCTTCTCTCTTTTCACTCCTCAAGAATTACTTAATTCCATTGTTATTTTCATTTTTCACTGTGTTTTCTTTTCACTACATTTGATCTGCTATATCTCTCCGTCATTCTTTCTTCCTCCCGTTCTTTTTCATTCCTTCCTTTTCTTTGTTCAATCAACAGCCTTTTTACATCCACTTAATAATCTTACTTCCCTAAAAGCATTATTTATTTATGATGTTCCCCACCCACCACCACCAACGAGATATTTTTCCTTATTTTTCTTTTGTTTTCTATTTCAGTTTCTTCCTTGCTTTGTACCTCGTTCTTTCTTTTTCACTAATGTTCACCCATTACAAAGCCCAAGAGCTACCCAAGGCAGAGGGTTACTGAATAAGGCTGTTGTACGGAACGCAAGAGGAGGCGATAAGAAGCGCAATTTATGCGGATATGTAGGAAAGATAAGAGTTAAACGTAGACACGAAGAGGTTCAGATTATAGTAAGCGGGAGAGCATATTCATATTTTCTGTTTCCTAAGGTAGCGCTTCTGGGGAAGATGTTGTTCAAATGGAACTTCCTCTTTACTAATGGAATACGGAGAGGATGGGTTTCATTCGTCCAAGTATATGTAGCATAAAGTATTTTAGATGTGAATGTCAGAACCGGTGAAACGAAAGAATGTAGCTCATCTGAACATTTGCAATGGAAATAGTGTAGTAGCGAAACAGTTCCGATGTTTCGTGTTTGGGAAATTCTTACCATAATTGTTTTCTTCTTTTTTCTATTTCCTTCCTTGAGTTAACTGCGTCTTTTTCTTTTTCTTTTCTGTTTTTATTCCCTTTCCTTTTCTCTTCTCTTCTAATATACCTCGTTTTTCATTATCTTTCTACTTCCTTCTGAAAATTCGACATTTTCTTCCGTCCTAGCAAAATTTTTGTGACATTTTTTTTTGTTGTACGTTTTATATTTTTTTCTGTTTTCATTCTCTTCGAATCCCAACTGAGCTTGTTTGTATTTTTTCATTTCTTCTTCCCAACCTTCATTCATTTTCTTCATTTCTTTCTGATTTCTTCATTTTCTATCTTCCTTCTGTTCATCCTTCCTTCATTTTTTTCTTTTCTTTCTTCTTCTTCTTTTCCTCATTTCATTCTCCCTTCTTCCCCACTTTTTTTTTGAAAATTTTCTTTCTTTTTCTTTCTTTCACAATCTACTTTCACTGATTCATTCTTCTTCCCGCTCTTTCTTCATTTTCTCCCTTTTACATTCTTTTGTTAATGTTCTCTGTTTATTCTTCTTTCTTGCTTCATTTTACTTTTCTTACTTCCTTTTTTCTTAACTCTTTTTCCTTCTTTCGTTGTTTTTCTATCCTTCTTTTTTTCTTCATTTTTTCCCCTTTTTACATGTTCTTTTCATTTTATTTTTTCTTTCTCCTATCTTTCCTTTCTTTCTTCATTTTCTTTTCTCGCTTTTTAACTATTTACTTCACTTTATCTTCTTTCCTTTCTTCTTCCTGTACTTTTTCGTTTTCTCGTTTCGTTTCTTCGTTCTTCACGTATGTCCTTCATTTTTTTCTTCTTTTCTTCCATCTTTTCCTTCATTCTCTTCTTTCCTTTTCTTCAGCTTTTCATTCATTTTTTTTCTCTTTTTTTCTTGTCTGCTTTCACAGATTCCTCTCTGTCTTTCTTCTAAAGTTATTTTCTTAATTTTTCAATATTTCTTTCATACGTTTTGTTTTGTACATATCTCACGTTCTTTTTAGGTTCAAACAATACCTGCTCTTTCTTTCTTGCTTGCTTTCTTTTGTTGTCAGTCTCATCTCACTTTGCTCGGTGTATCTACACAAACCTTCCTTGATACCGTCTTCACCGACCTACCTACCGCCATTACAAAATACATTCTGCATTATTTTCGTGTTCTCTACCAACTTGACTCCCGACTCGCGATCGATACACGCTTCTCCTTCCCGTTTTTCTCTTTATCGCCTTCTCATTTTCATATCAACTCAAATCTGATCAACGTTTATTTTTATTTATTTTATTTATTTAATCATTTTATTTCCTGCTTTGTCTCTTGTCACTTCCGATCGACCTTCACCCATCTTTATTTCTCACGCTTGCTTTTCCGGACGGAATCTTTTTGTTACCATTTTCCTCGATATTTCTTCTTCCTTCTCTCATTCACCTGAATGTCTTGGGCTTCTTTCAGTTTTTAAAAAATATCTTTTGTTTTCTGATGGTTTTCTATTCCTTACCTTCTTGTAGGCTTCTATTGTTTTATTTACTCGTGCTTCTAAAATTTTTCGCCTGTCTGCTTTTTATGTTTTTTATTATTTCGTCTTTCTTCTTTAATTATACTCATTCGAAAACATCAAATTTTTTCGTAGTCTTTGCCATGACTTTCTTCCTTCTTTCCGTCTTTCTTATATTATTATTTTCCCTTCCTTCCTTCTTTTTTTCCTCCCTTCCTTCCTTCCTTCCTTCCTTCCTTCCTTCCTTCCTTCCTTCCTTCCTTCCTTCCTTCCTCCCCTCCTCCATTTTTTTCCTTCCTTCCTTCCTTCCTTCCTTCCTTCCTTCCTTCCTTCCTTCCTTTCTTTCTTTCTTCCTTCTTTTTCCTTCCTTCCTTCCTTTCTTTCTTCCTTCTTTTTTTTCCTTCCTTCCTTCCTTCCTTCCTTCCTTCCTTCCTTCCTTCCTTCCTTCCTTCCTTCCCCTCCCTCCATT